GGTCCATCTTACAAGGGTACATGTGAAATTTTAGATAATTTGAAGTGGTTACAATCCTTCAAAGGCAGAGATTGGCTTCTTCAAGGAATTAGCAAAGCGTTGAACTCCTAAAAGGCCTCTAAAATATTTGTGAATAAATGATCTTAAATTAACTAGTGAAAAAATCATGGGGCATGTGCCACTTCAAAAGGTGCTAAAGTGAAATGAGAAGACCACAGTTTCTCATTGACGCTGTAAAAGAATCTGATTTGTTAAATCAGCCCCACATTTCATAGTTTCATTGCAGAATCAACTTTCTTGGGAATTACCCTGATAGTGTTTGGGGGCCAAGGCGAATGGGGGGTGTCGGGGCTGCAAGAATGAAAGAAGTCAACTTGAGTTTCTCTTTGGATTCTCAACCTGGGTCCTACTGGGGGCGCCCAGGGGGCAGACTCCTGAATCCTGGAACTTGACTGGCTGCTGTGGCCTGAGAATGCAGTAGCCAGTGTCTCAAGCTAAACTTACCATTTTCTGGCTGGTCCTTAATGTCAGCGTCACTTGGCTGGCTGGGACTTTCAGATTGACTTGAATCTGAAAAACATAAAAATACAGCCAAAAATTACAGGGTCCATGAGGGAAAGTGGATCAGAGACGCCAGACTTTCTCAAAGGTTCAACCGATAAACTACGAGTGAGAACGTTACAGTAACGGCATGATAAATGAAAAAAAGAAGAGGTGGAAAGAGAGGGGTGGGGCGCAGCAGCGGTGCCTTTAGAGAGGACCCTGGGCTTGTTCACACCTGCAGGGGCCTTTGCTTTGTGCCAGATCCTGACTTAAAGCTCTTCAGAAACTGCTCTCTTACAGAGAGACCACTTCCAAACTGCTCTTCTCCTCTATTTATACACTCAAGTCTGATAAAGACTTCATCCTTCATTACACACATCTGAAGCTTGATTCAGAACATAATAAAGTGTCAAAACATATTTTGAAGCTGGTATATAAAAGCAACCCAAACAACAGTAACAAGTTCTGTTGATATTTAGCTCTGTATTCCAGCAACAGACTACGCAGACTAACACCATTAAATACTAGAGTCCTAATATTCCAGCACACTTTCTTGAAATAACTGAGTAACTCAAGGAGGTCTTCTCTGAAGGTGTAAGTTTCCACCACCTTGTAAGCATTAATGTTTCTCTTCTGCTGATACATTTGGGAGATGATAAAGGGGCCAGTTAGCAAAAGCAGCTTCTTGCATTCCTTTAGAGAATTAAACTTACTTTTATTTTTAAAAGTATAATCAGATTTTCAAATAAAAAAATGAATTCAATTAACTTAATTTCTAATGGTAATAGTTAAAGTAACTTTTAATTTTACTATTAGATAAAATCAACTTAGATCAAAAGAAGTTCACATAACTAGAAGCAAGCATATTGTTTCGAGGGGGGGAAGAGAAAAAAATCAGGTAAAATGTTTCGAGGTGAAAATTTTTGAAGTAAAGCATTTTCTGAAACTCGAAGTAGCTTATAATATTATAGAAAAGCAAGTAAACAAAAGAACTTTTTTAAAGCCTCTAGATCTGTGGAAAGCTTGGATCAGGGGTCCTCAAACTACAGCCCGCGGGCCACATGCAGCCCACCGAGGACATTTATCTGGCCTACCGGGTGTTTTTGCCACCACTGCCTGTCCTGCTTAGCAGCCAACTCGTCCCGGGGCCCACAGTCCGGCCCTTCAACCATCTGAGGGACAGTGAACTGGCCCCTGTTTAAAAAGTTTGAGGACCCCTGGCTTGGATCCTAAGTTTACCTTGACTTTATATGATTAGAATTAGTTCTCTGAGGCTGGGTGCAGTGGCTCATGCCTATACTCTTAGCACTCTGGAAGACCCAGGAGGGAGGATCTCTGGAGGCCAGGGACCAGCCTGAGAGTGAGGTGCTGCCTCTATAAAAAACACAAAAATTAGCCAGGCATGGTAGCCCACCCCTGTAGTCCCAGCTACTTGGGAGGCTGAGGCAGGAGGATTGCTTGAACCCAGGGGTTTGAGGCAGCTGTGAACACTGCACTCCAGCCCAGGTGACAGAGTGACATCCTATCTCAAAATAAATAATAAAATAAAATAAAATAAACAGAAATAGCTGTATGGAATTTGACCACATTTCCACAAAAAGTTCAATGTGAGGTCAAAAGATCATTATACTTAACTGTGATTAAACAGAAAAATATTCCTTCTGCTGCAAGGGAGTTACATCATCACCATTCTGTGTCTTGGAGATACTGTAGAAAGAAGTAGCACTACCAGTGACCTTAGGTCTAGAAATGCTAATTTATTACTTTAAAAGACTCCCTGCTTTTAAGCAAATGAAGATTTTAATTATAGGAAAAGCGCTATAAAGAAAATGTCTATTTTAAAAATTCCAAATCATCTTAACCTGGTGACTATGGCAAAAATTCTATGTTGATTCAAAGGCTCAAATAAGAAAAGATGTAGAAATTTTCATTTCAGTCTGGTAAAGTGACAGCTTTTATCACTTTTTAAATAACTGCCATAGAGAAGACACAAAGTATTATTACATGCCAAAAACCTTTAGACAATCCTTCAGAATAAGCTATAAAACTAAATACAAAGTTGGAACTAAAAATCAGAACTGCAAACAAACTGGACCATACTTGAAATTTTAACTCTATAAATTAATATCACATTTAAAGCAAACAATCTAAAAATATAGCATAACTACCTTTTTTTATTTCCTAAGGAAAGAGCTTGTAATTTTGCCATTAGAAATTACAAATTAGGGCAGTGCTTGTGGCTCAAAGGAGTAGGGTGCCAGCCCCATATACCGAAGGTGGTGAGTTCAAACCTGGCTATGGCCAAAAAAAAAAAAAAAAAAAAACTGCAAAAGGGGGAAAAAATTTACAAATTAAATATTTTGAGATGTGATTCAATGTGTTTTAGAAAAAATACATACTTCTTGTCATTTCTGTTATGGAAAATATTAATATTAACATCTATTAATCCATTAATATATCCACTAATCCATATCCATTAATATCTACAACTGAAATGAAAGCAAAGTATCTAATTTTGTTTTAGGTCAAGTTAAAATTCTTCTTGATCATGTACCAGAACATATACATACAATTTTGCCAAACATAACATTTCCTTTGGAATAATGCAAACCTAAGTCTCTATGGGATAGCATAGCCAATCTTACACTTCTAGGTGAACTATCTTGACAATTAACCACTTTCCCATGAATAAATGAAGATATTTTTATTTCAATTAATTTAGCATTCGTATATAATATCCACTTGCTTTTTAATATTTATCCATTAACATGAAGACAAAAAAGCAATAAGGAGAGACCCCCAAATATGTTTTTTTAATAATCTGAAAGTGACTTTCTTTGTTCTTTCCCTCTTGTTTATACCTGATTTGTCAACCCACCTTTACAGAAATGTAACATAATTATAGAAAACA